TTGATGTTAAAAACTAGCTCAGTTTAAACTGCAAATGGAAATGGTTTTTGATCCACTTGGAGCTATTTATTTGCTATGTAAGAGGGGAAATTTTGAAAGGATTCAACTTAGGCGAAAAGGCTGTCATCTGGGAGAAAGGATTGATCATCTCAAGCATGTAAAGTTTGCTTTTCCTCCTCCTTTTACCACAAAAAGGATTTGATCACTCAGGCAAAAAAGCTATGACCTGGGGTAATAAAGGATGCTGCTGCTACTACTACTATTATTAATGTTGAAGAAAAGAATCTTCTAAATTTGATATGCGAACATCTTTTCTAAACATGTTCAACTTATGTGAATTTCTTTTCTAAACTTATGAGTTGCTCTCATTCAAATGTCTTTCCTAAACCTGCAAGAGCTTATGCCATATTTGAGAATGTCTACTCCAAGACCCTAAATATTTTGTCTAAAGCAGCCAGAAAACCAGTTTGATACATTCTAACCCCTCTTAACCCTTTGACATTTTGAATAGAGAACTTTTTAAAGTAAGTAAATTTCTTTTGTTGCTAAGAAATTGATTTATATGAATTGTTGCTCTAAAAAAATTGTTAAAATTTCTTTAAGGAAAACATTTTTCCCCACATTCTTTTCTAGAGAAAACAGATTTGTATTGCAAAGAACTGTTAATCTGCCTTGGTTTACAGTGCACATGGAAAATCTTGTGCAAGAAATATTGTACTTCGTACAATTTATATATTATAAATGGAATAAATCTGCACCTGGCCCTAACGGAATACCTTTCCTTTTGTACAAAAAATGTCCTACTCTTCTTAAATGGTTACATACTAACTTAAAATTAGCATGGAAAAATTACCATATCAGCCAACAGTGGATGATAGCGGAAGGGGTTTACATACCCAAAGAAAAGAATTCCAAGGACATCAGTCAATTTCGGCCAATTTCGCTTCTCAATGTAGAAGGAAAGATATTTTTCACAGTTTTGGCATCGAGGTTGACCTTCTCGATAATGAGTATATCAAAATAAAATTAGTAGTACAGAAGGGTGGTGTTCAGGAATAGCTGGTTGCTTAGAGCATGGAAACATGATCTGGGAGGCCATTCAAAAAGAAAAAATTAAAAGGAAAGATTTGGATGTCATTTGGTTGGATTTTTAATGCCCACGGATCAGTACCTCACCAAATGATACAATTATCATTACAAATGTACCATATTCCTGAGGAAATATCTATTATGCTAGAACTTATTTTGATGGTTTCTCATGCGTTTACTACAAAAAGACTTTACGACTAAGTGGAACAGATTTGAAGTTGGAATTACATGGATGTACAGTGTCACCAATACTTTTCGTTCTAGCAATGGAACTGATTGGTAAAGCGACAAACAACAAGGCTGATGTTGTTGAGCTTGGGGGGAGGTTGTCAAATGCAACTAGTGAAACGTTCATGGATGACATTACAATCCTCTCATCCAAAGTAAGTTCAACTCGCAAGATATTGCTTGATGGACGACCTGATAAGTTGGTGTAGAATGAAATTTAAACCAAACAAGTCCAGAAGTCTTTCTTTAGAAAAGGAAAGTTGAACAAAACATAAATTTTGTAGTAGGTGGCCAAAGAATCTTACTGTATCAGAAAAATCAGTAAAAAGTTTAGGTCGGTGGTACGATCAATCGTTAAAAGATACCAACCAAGTAAAAGAAACATCCAGGTCATTACAAGAAGATCTCCATAAGATAGATCTTTGTCCTCTAAAAGGAAAATACAAGGTATGGTGCTTAGAGCATGTGCTCATTCCGAAGCTACTATGGCCCATAATTGTGTACGAATTTGGAATGAGTACAATTGAGTCAATGGAAAGGAAAATAAACAAATATATCCGAAAATGGTTGGGTTTGCCTCCAGGTTTGTCTGATATCGCATTGTACTGCAGACAAGCAAAACTAAAGTTGCCATTTAAATCGATTATGGAAGAGTATAAATCTGGAAAAATTAGACTTCAAATGATGTTGATGACTCCAAGGATAAAGCAATAAAAGCTTTAAAGTCTACGTTAAAACAGGGAGAAAGTGGAAGGTCAGAAAGACGATAACAAGTGCTAAAGACAATCTAGCTTTCAATGAAGTCATCGATACACTCAAGCAGGGAAACAAGGGTTAGGACTAAATGAAAGGCAATGGTGGTCGAAATCTTCTGGTAAAGATCGCCGTGACATGGTCATCCAAAATGTGATGAAAGAAGAAGATGAAAAAGACTCGTAAAAGGAGTACAACAATCCCAACAAGGCCAATAGACAAACTGGGAGGAGGCTCTTCAGAAATCTATTACGTGGAAGGACATTTGGCAGATGGCTCCACTCAGGTTGAGCTATTTAACACGCTCCACGTATGACCTGCTACCATCTAAGAACAATCTTGTGAAATGGAAGAAAGAGAGGATCCCACTTGTCCCTGTGTAAGGAAAAACACAAACATTAGAACATGTTCTTAGTTCCTGTAAAACAGCCCTTGTCAATGGCAGATATACATGGAGGCACAATAGTGTTTTGGATGAGCTGGTCAGAATTATAAAGAAATACATGAAGTCTGAGTCATCTAATTCAGCCCAGGAATTTGTTGCAGAAGGAAAAAGATATGTCAGCTCTAAGCAAACAAGCAAATGTCATGCTATACTCAGAAAAAATCTCTTTAGTTCTGGTGGCATCTGGGAGGTATCTGCAGACCTTCCACCAATTTAATAATGATTACCCCCAAAATAATATCAAGTAAAGGTCTGCGACCAGATATTGTTCTTCTGTCAAGGGTGAACCATAAAATCATCATGGTTGAATTAACAGTACCATATGAATGCGGATGGAACAAAGCCACGATTATAAACTAATAAATATGAAAATCTAAAGTCAGAGCTAATAAAGGAGGGGTATAATGCAATTGTTAGAGCAGTGGAAATTGGAGCAAGGGGTTTCGTTTCAGGCACTCTGTACCAATTTCTGGGCCAAATTGGAATCAAAGGGCTTAATAGGGCCAAGAGTATAAACGCCTAGTAGAAGTAACAGAAAATAGTTCTATGTGGATATGGAAAACGAAATCCATGTGGAGTGTTTCAGTGAACATGGCGGCATGACATGACTGATCGTGAATGCGTAATGAGGTTCACGCGCATTCCCAGAACGCGAGGTTTGCTGTTTTCAATTTTCAGAATTTAATTTCACTGATTACACATTTGAACTAGTTTATCTACAAGACTTGTATATCGTTATAATGGGGGCCTCACATCAGTGAGGGGGCCAGTGTGCAACTGAAACCATTGAGAGGAAGGCCCCCAAACGGTGCACATTCTCTCCTGATGACCCCAATTTAAAATTCGAGAGGAACACATCAAATTCAGTGAAGTCAAAAGCCGCCAGAAGCTCGGTGGAAGTGTCATTGGCATGAGGAGCATTACACATTCAGCTCGCTTCAGGTGAGTTTCAATTACTTTCCAGTAATTTCCTTCTTTTTTAAAAATATTTTGTCATTTTAATAAATGTTTGTTTCTTTACAAATTTCACTTGAGTAAGAATCTTGTCTTTTTTATTAGCATCTCTGAAAGTACTTAGAAAGAGTTGGATAAGACACTTGAAACTCCCCTACTCTTTGAGTCTTTCTTTTTAACTGCCTCCTCTCATTTATGAGGCTTACATTATGTATGCTTACCGTACAAGGTAATCAATAATCAAGTTTTAAAATATGAAAGAGCATTATCTTGCATGAATACATTCTTTGGCTTAAAAACATCTCAATTGTGATATGATGCTTTGGTCAAGAACTTACAATAATTCACCAATTTATCTGCATAGCATTAACTTTTCAGGGAAATATAATTTTACTGCCTGCTAGCCCAAAACATTACTCCATCTCCTTCCTGTTTGCTGATTATTTTTATGAAGAGCCCAATCTCTAGTTCTGCTATCAGTTCTACATTAATCACTAAACATTACTATTGAGAAATCAGTTTTCATGTACTTCTTTGTCCAATGTACATATTTTTCTTTGTAATATAACTTAAAGTTGGTAGTTTGGTTATCTTTAGCCAACAATATTCTGCATCTTTTTTCTCTGCTTACATTCACAACTTCAGCTTTTTCAAATATTTTCTTGCTTGTTATTCTTTAAATTTTGTTTGTTCTTGCCAATGTTTTCAATTTTTTTAATTGCTCTCTGATCTCTCAAACTTTTTCTACAATTTCCAAATTTGTGTTTCCATCACTTAATAACATTTTATTGTTTCACTTTTTCTTATGAGCGATGGCAGACTTTATATATTTGAAATTAAAAAATAGATATCAATAACTATTATACATTCTTATTTACAATGAAAAACTCAAGTTGCATTATAAAATTTCCCACCACCAAATAAGCTATTGTAATTAAAACAAACTTCAATTCATATTGTATATTTATCATATAAATGTAAGTATATCCCAGTTGGTTAATATCAGCATTGTTAAAAAATTAATTGCATAATAGAACCTGATAAAGTGTACATATTTTTTTGTGATTTTTATTTATATTTTGTAGATTAAATTAACAAAATTTATTATCCCAGAGAATTATTTTTAAATATTTAAAAATGGTGTGAGTACATGTCTAAGAGAAGATTGCATAAAAATGAAGAGGAATTAACATTAATCAAAAATACTTTTCCAAAATTTTATTACAAAAGAATAATTTAATAAGTGCATGAAATAAGTACATAAAGTATTTGAATTTCTATACTTTTTCAAATTGAGGTTAAATTTTCAATTATTTTTTGTCTTTATTACATCCTGTAACTACTGTAAATAGTTTTTTCAAAAACTAATGTCTCCAGTGCTGTATATTTTTTTTACAAAGTTTATGAAAATTGAATTAATTTTTAGATACAACATGACAACATGGAATTCTTTTTGTCACAATAGTGAACTTACATTATTTTTCATTTGATATTCCAATTAATATTGAGTAAATAAAAATTTAATACTTACCAGATAAATGTGCTTTTTCTATGAAGTCATCAAGATTTGGGTTTTTCAATAAAATGTTTATTTTAAAATTTTTACAATAATCAGGGAAAATTTTCAAATTCTCACTACTTGTTCCAGATACACTTTCATCTGAAATAAATATAATTTTGCTGAATAATCAACTTGAGTCATAAGCAAATTATCCATTAAATCAGGGTAATCAAACAGTATTATATAATTACCTAGAATATAAACAGTATTATTTAAGCACCTAATACTAATTATGGTATTTATGTGAACAAAACAATTTGTCATGATGAAAAATAAAATACATAAAAAATTGTACAAAGAAGATAAAAGATGTACATTTTTATTTTATCAAAAAATAATTTCTTTTACATATTAACAACAAATTTCTTCAAATATTTATTCAAATGAATTTTTTTAGATTATACTCTATTTCAAATGTACAGTCAGAAAGCATATTTTGATCCTGGATTCATAGCTATAATGTAATAAAATTTTTCTCAGCAAGTGTTAAAATATATTGATAATTTCTTTCCAAAGTCCCTGAAATTTTGCCAATAAAGCTTTAAGATTTCAGTTAAATTTTAAAATAAGTGCTCTCAACTTTCAAGGTTACTAATGGCATAAAAAAAAAATCTTTATTTTTTAAAAATGTTCTAGCATCATCACAACATTTTGGCTACTTCCATGTCTCTTTCAAATCTGTTTATCATTTGGAATTTTAAACTGGAACTAAATTTATTTAATCTACAAGAAGTAGATAATCCTTTCATTTTGCATTGGATATCGGTGACATTCATGAGGTAAAAAAAAAAAAAAAGTTTAAAAAAAAAATAAACCCAGAGATTCTTCATAATTCCTTTAAATGAAAAACTTTAATGTTAATCTTTAGAATTTGGAAATGTTGAATCAAAAGTTCAGATTTTTTGATGTTTTGTGATTAGATTTTTCTTATTAAAACAAAAGAGACCCCAGCATTTTTTTTTATTCTACAGGTGAACCCTTAAGTAAAAAATGGTTGAGAAACACTGATTTATTAGAATGGTTGGCAAAAATTGCCAACTGATTTGACTTTATAAAATGAAATTTCCTTATAGTTGGTTCATATTTTAATAATTTAGTAAATGTTTATAAATTTATCAATAAAAACTTTTCATATTTATTTTTTATAAATTGGTAAATGATAAATATTGCATTAGTCTTAAGTGAAGGTTATTCGTTTTTAGAATGTTGTAAATATAAAATTATTCTTGTAAATAATAGTGTTTATTATTTTTGTTTAAATTCTGAATGAACCAAAAAAAAATGTATAAATTCACTTTTGTCATAGGTTTGGTATTTATACAATTCTAATTTTGCTTTTTGTTGAAGAGTGAAGGTATTAAAATGGCTTTTAGTGCATCAAGGGAAAAACTGATATGTTTGACACTGTTTCTTTGGAAACCCAAAAGTCCATGTTTGCTGATTTCTTATACACATTAAAAAAGTATCTCATATGACAGACCAGAGTTTTTTTTACAGAGGTTTTCAAAATGACTATAGACCAACTCAAACAAGTAGATCCAAAACAATTTCATGAAACTGGCTAAGAATTTGGCCAAATTTTTTCTTATTAGATAGAATTTTGTATTCATATAGATGAAAATTTATATTTCTTCTGCTACTAATGTGTTTTAAATTTATTCTTTTATCATCATAATTTAGCTGTCTTTACTTAGCTTATTTCAGTCAGCATTAGAAAGGTGTGTGTGTGTTTGCTACTTAGATTTTAATCAGAGAATATACTATATTGTTTCAGAGAAATTTTTTCTGTTTCTTTTCTATGTTGAAAAAAATATCCCTTCACTTTACTGATGCATATCAAATTACAAAGTTAGACTTTAATGACATTAAAACTTATACACTTATACTTCATCTTGATGAATGAATTCTTAATGACAGTTCATAAGGTGAATGTTTCTAAAGTCAGGTATAATTATTTATAGAAAGCAACTCATTAAATAGGGCTATGCTCATTTGAAATAGAAAAAAACTACATATAAAATCTTTCAATTGCTATATAAATAAAACAACAAGGTTCAAAAAATGATTTTAATGAGAAAAGGAAATGTATAAAATTTAAAAAAAAGGAATAAAAATAGGCATAAAAATTTACATGAAATCAACAAAATTATTAACCTTAAATACAGTGATGATGATGATGATGTCAAAACAATGAACTTTCTTCCACATCTGTCCTGTTGACTCATTTTTAATGAAGAGATTGAGTGTTAAATCATTTTTTTAAACAATATTGTACATTCATTAAATTTTAAACAGCTTTCATCTTTCTTTCATAATCTGAATCTTTTCAACGTGTTTAAAACTTTTTTGATTCCTTTTTTGGATGGATTAAAAGCTGTGATTTTGGATATTTCTTATACTATTCACATAGTTCAGACTGTTGTCCTCATCTTTTATTGTCATATCCACAATGTTTTGGCTATTGTATGCTCTGGTTTACTTCAGGTGATATATGTCGGAATTTTGAATTACCCATTATTTAGTCAATGGGGGTAGATTGTTCATCTTTTCTGGATATCTCAGTTTCAGTTAATTCCTTTAGTAACTCAACTCTCAAAGATTTTGTTCACCTCTGATATGGCCAAGCATTGAACTCACAACTCTTTGGGTCAAGTCCTTTTGGATTACTTCAACCAATGTTTTTATTCACTAGGCCAATATTTGGGGATATGTTTAAAACTTCTTTGAGTCTTTTTTAAATTGATTGGAAGCAATGATTTTGGTAATTACTTCTATATCTTGTTCTTAATATTTTCTCATTTCAATTAATTTTCTATTGTCTATTCCTTCGTTATCAGTATTAAACAACCTATTAATGCCATGGTTTGAAATTTAAAAATTCATGTGCTCAGGAAAGCCAGAAAATTTTACCCAATTTTTCTTAGCTTGTGAACCTTTGTCACTATGCATTACTCACTGGTATTAATTCCTTTTCCACAGCTCATCAACTACATTATTTTTTTGGTGTTAATTTCATGTCATATGTGCTGTTTTAAAATCTTAAACTAAAGATAAAAAAAGAAGCATCTCCCAGGATCTCTCTTGTCCTTCCTTTTTGCCTGATTTTTGTTAGCTTAAAAACCTTTATATCTCATTCTACTTCTTCAATCAATTTTTCAGATTTTAGCTCTGACATTGGCATTATCCTACTCTCCTTGAAGCATGAATGTTATACCAGTTTGCTCTTCTTTTGTACTCAGTTTGAACTAAACGCTGCTTACTAAAAAGGTTGCCCTTGAATCTTTTCTTTTTGATTGATTTGTTTTCTACAACTTTGCAAGTTATTTAAAGCCAGAAAATATTTTTAGACTGTAAATTTTTTTTTTGAGATAATGGCTTAGTGATACAAGTCTTACTAATTAACTGGAGGGATTGAAGGTGGATTCATACCTTTCTCAAGGGATATTTTCATGTAGTGAATATAACTGACACAAAAGGAATTGGAACTCAGCTCTCTGATTAAAAATTCCAAGTCATTATCTATTACACCACCCAAACATCCAAGTTTACAGCACCTGGTATTCAAACTAAAAAAACTCATTTAGGTAATGGCCAGGTTTAACATTGCTTAACTTTGGTGATGAAACATGTTTCAATGAGATGTGGCTGTAAGCCTGAATGTTATTTTTTGCCATGGGGTTTGAGAAAAATTGAACTCAGGAAAAGATATCTATTTGATTGGTATTTGGTCATTTATCCAGGTTATTTTTCCATTTAAAGAATTAAACTCAGCATCTTTCATTTACATACAAGTAGAAAAAATAGACTGTACTTGAATGAAAATTATCTTCTCTTTTGTAATTAAACTTTTTACTGTTGACTTTACCAGTTCAACTAAGAAAAAAAATATTAACAGCTTTGCCATTTTCAAATTCTTTAATAATTTCATTTTCCCAAACTCTCAGCCTTTTCTTTCTTGTCATCAAGGTTCTCTGAATATTCTCTTTTTAATATTTTTAAAGATGCAATGAAATAACTCCAGAAAAAGGGTATGCAAAATTCATTGCATCAGATAATGAAACTTTATGAATGAAATACTCAAATTTGAGACACATAGTAACAAGCCTTTATAACCAGTGTGAAGCCACTAGGCTTGTCCAGACAATTATCTTACATATACTACAAGATTTAGCATTTTGTGTTAGATGCTTTTTACAGATGTAGTGGCAGAAAAATTTTTTAGCAGACAATTACAACAGTTTAACACAGAAGACATTTGGCAACAAAATCTTTGACATAAAACCAGCTCATAAAATGAGATGTATTTATAATTGTCTTTTTAAGTTATTAGATAGAGCTAGTAGAGCAGTTAAAAATTATGAAAATAAATCAAGGTGACAAAAAAAAATAAACTTGAGATCCTATTGTTGTGAATCATCTTCCTTTTTATCCTTGTTTTCCAACTAGATAAATTCAAAATTTACTTTTTAGTGATGATACCTGTAAAAAACTTCACTTTTCAAAAAAAATAATATCTGACACATCTTCATTGGTTTAACCTTGAAACTTTGACTTGGGGGTTTGGCTTAATTTTTAGTATTGATGACTGTAAAAAGTCTGGATAAGGTCTTCTTTCCTCAATACTAATTAGTCCTATTTATCATGGTCACCAAGAACAACATTTATTGCCTTTTCTTAATCATTAATCCTAAACCATTCCTGTAAGTTATCATATCTACGGTTTGATACTTTAATTCAATGCCTTTAAAATTTATGAAACCTCCTATCTCAAAGAAGTTACTATTTTTTTTTTAACAGCATATCATTTCCTTATGGGCAGTGGTGGGATTCAGTAGGTTCATGCAAACCTGTTCTTGGAATTTTACAAGCTCATTGAACCCATTGCTAGCTGCAACCCAAACAAATGACTAATTTTGAATTGTCTACAAATTGTAGTCACATAATTGGTTGGGGATGTAAATTCAGGTGCATGAATAAAGATTAATACAAATCTTATGGACTGCTGAACTTACCAGATACTACATGAAATATTCCCTGGAAAACTGCGGAAAAAAAAGCTTAATGACTTCAGTAAAATTTTTCATTACAACATTCCCAGTAATGATTTTCGTGGCTATGTGGGAAAATGTCTTGAAAAACTTTCATAATCCTGTAATTCTTGAAAGTCTGCAAAAAGCTAAAACTTATCACTTAATATGATTGCTATGGTTCTTTTGAGGTAGAAATATATTATATAAATTATATACTCAGATAAAAAAAAGCCAACTTACAGTGAAAAATGCAGCAAACTTGATAACAATTAATCTTATTGGTCACCATTTTAGATTTATGGAATGCCACTCCCTTTTGTTAAAACATGGCTTAAAAAAAATCAAATTTGATGACAACAGAGTGAGGAAAAAAAAAAAATCTGAAGACTATGATGACAATCAAGGGGACTATTTGGAAATTTTTTAAATGAAAAATCATAAAAAAAATTTTAAAGCATTTCTTGTAATTATTTTTTCTTTTTCAAAATGATAACAGGCAATGTAATGCAGATTCATTTTTGGAATTTTTGAATAATTGCAAGAAAAATTTGCTTTATTCCTAAAGTATATTTATACAATTAAAAACATAGATTATTGTCCTGTCTGTTGTTTCATGAACTTTGCAACTGAAAATTGAATCTACTTTATGCCTCAACAGGGAAAAACATTTTGGATTAACAGAAAAGATGAGGATATTAGTCCAAATGATAAAAAATTCATAAACCCGATATACAAAAACTTTTTATATCTTAATAATAGTAATAATGACAGTTCTTTGAAGATTATGTCCTACATCTACATGTGAGATTATAAAAATAAACACTGTAATTAAGAACAGTAATTTTTTCATTAACTAATCATGAGCTATTGAAATAGTTAGATTTATATTTTTATTTGTTTTTATCAGCAGAAGCTAAGATGGTTTGGAATCCAAAAAAATTCCGAAGGATTGCAAGTTTGATCTGACCCAGAATGTTTTTATTTTTTTTAACTGAGTTGGCCAATTCTTAGAAATTATGTGTTGACATGGTCAACTATTGATTGGGTAATGTAATTTTGAAAAAAAAAAAACAGTGATACACTGACATTGGCATTTATTATATAGAAGATTGGATTTATATTGAAAAGTTTTAAAATATTAGCAAAATAACTGATATTCCTATTTTTTCTATATTTTTCAAAATGCAAATTTCTTGCAAAAACATTGTTATTTTCTTTTAAAAATTCTAATTTTATATGAGAATAAAATTAAAGATAAGTATATTATAGAAGGATATAATTGTTGTTTTAAATTATAAAAAGATGAAAATAACATGAATTTTAACATAGATATAGATATAACAAAATTAGATAAACTGTTGAAATACTAAAGCCATAAATTTATAAAAACTAAAAGTTCTAGGATGCAAACATTTTCTCAAATCTTTATACTAGCAGCTTGATGAAACTCGGAACTGATCTATGCTTCCCAGGACCAAATTTGAATGCTTAAAAATTTAAATGCTATTATTCATCTAATAAATTAACAAAAGCAACAAAAAATCAAAATAAACTCAACTAAAAAAATTAAATTCTACATTTGTAACATTGAAGTCATTTTTTGTGAGATATTTTTTTTTAACGTACAAAAAACACAGAAAATTGTCTGACAACAAAATTGATATTTCTTATTTTAAAATTCATATTTTTTAAGAACAATCTGACATATAAAATTGAACTTGAACCATTGCAATAACTGATTATATTTGACAAAGAAAAATTCTGTAATGGAGTTGGTATTCAGCACCTGTATATGGATTGTGAATGAATCTCTAACATCACTATCCATAGCATGAAAAAAACATGTAATATTGATGATATATATAATCCAATTTACACAGTTATTCTGAAATATTCTCAGCAGAAAACTGAACATTGAACATATTTTTTTTATTGATTTGAACCAATATTTATTTTGAAAGAATAAAAAACAATGTATGGATTTGTCAATTGAACCAGGACAGTGCCAAACTTTAAACTTTTTTACAGGTCTTTGTTTGCCTTCAACAAAAATCAAAACCAACAATATTGAATGCATAAAATTAAAAATACAAATGAAGTTTAATTTTCAAAAATATAAATATTGTTTGATGATATTTAATTATAAATAAAATGTCATTCACAAAAATACTGCAAATTAATAAACAGAAAAAGTCATCCATTGAAATCAAACAAGGGTTCAAATTATGACCAATTTAATTTGAAATGCAATCAAAAATTTGTTTAAATTTTTACAGGGCTTTTAATGGACATATGTCGGTCCAAAAATTTTACAGCCAAAATTTTTTAATTTCACATTTGATTTATAGGTCACATCCAGATATTTTTAGTTTAAAAATATTTTTTAATATACTTTGTTGGTCCAATAAATGTCCTGAGAAGATTTTCGTTAAAAAATCAGGAAAATTGACTTTTAATCAACATTAATATAAGAACCGTATTTATTAACAATAGTTTAAGGTTTTGTAAAAAAAAATTAGCTCAGTCATATGAAATTATTACAAACAGGTATTTTGGACAAAAAATGTGTTTCTATTTTTGAATGCCTATTTTTTACAGAAATTAGGATTTGAACAAAATCCAGTTTGTAGAGGTAAAATCAAAATTATGGAAATTTAAAGCAAGATGGATTTAAAAAAAACAATTTAATATTTAAAGTTTATCAAAAAGTTAAACTTCACTTTTCAACATTGTTAATGCAATGTTGATTGGGGGTATGTTTAACTGAGTATAGAATTCAGTGATATATATATATATATATATATATATATATATATATGTGTATATATATATATATATATATAGTGGATATAAAATTGGTTTTGACGTATGAGGATCTGACAGCTTATTGATTCAGTTATGAAATTTTGTATATAATCTTATGTGGCATTTAAGTGTGTAGTGATTTGCATAAAGGACACATATGGAGCAAGTGTGAGGATTGTGAGATGAGATCACTGTTAGATTATATACCTTTTAGATCTTGCTCTATTCTTGAAGATGATTCAGACAAGCAGATTGAAAATTGCTGAGTCCATTAAACACATTGATTTCCATTCTACCAAATTCATGGATAAGCACTCAAGGTATTGTTATTATATTGACAGCTGACAAGTTGCTTTTCAGTTTGTCTTTGTATCTTAGCCATGGCCATCCTACATTCCTGTAGCCCTGATCTAACTGACTGTACATTAGGATCTTGGGTATCCTGTCATCAGACATTTTCAAGACATGACCAGTCCACTGTAACTGAGACTGTATGGAGAAAAGTCTCGATTCCTCCAATATTACACCTGTTAAACAGGTCTATATTAGATGTCCAATCTTGAAGAAGGTTAATTCCATGCAGACAGCTTTTATGGAAAACATCCAGCTGGCGTATATGGTACCTGTATGGAGTCCATGACTCTGAGCAGTACAAAAGGATGGCAAGTACAACAGCTCTGTAAACCTGAATTTTCTTATCCAGTTAAATATCCCACTCATTCCACAAGCAATGGCGGAAGTTTGCTAAAAGCACTGGTACATTTAGCAATCTGATGCATGATTTCATCATCTAAAGTGCCACTGTAATTAATTTGCTACCAAGATAGGTGAAAGACTTTACATAGTTCAGGGCTTTGTCTTCACTTTCAATGGTCTCTCTGGAAATTTGTAGACTGGTGGTTTTGTTTCTCACAACAGAATTGCTTCAGAGTAGGACAATGTTGGTGCACTACTTTAGTTTTCTTTTTATGCTAAGTGTAAGACCAAAGGCTTTACATGCAGCAGGGGAAACAATTTATTAGATGTTGGGCCTCCTCAAACGAGGTCACTACAAGAGCATCATCAGCAAACAAATAACAAACAAATAATTTGCATATGAAGGTGGGTCTTGGCTTTGAAGTGCTGAAAATTGAAGAGACCACCAGTTGTTCAAACTGTCTGCAAATGCATATTTCAGCATCACCAAGAAGAAA